GACTACGTGGTGCTCTCGCAGGATGGCCTGATTGAGGTCCTTGGGGTCTAGGCACAGGCGTAGCTTGCCATTGTCTTTGAGGCGGAACACGAGGCTGTTCACCCACGCTGTTGGTTCGCCTTCCTGGATCTTGGTGATGATGCCGTTCTGGATCATGTCCTCCAGCTCCGTCCTGATCTCGTCTCTCAGTGCGATGGGGTGGAGGTGGCGAGGAGGGTGTACAACTGGGACGACGTTGGGGTCCACCGTGATGTGGTACTTGCCTGGGAATTTCCCAATGCCATCGAAGCACTTCGGGTATTGCTTCATCAGGTCGTCCTTGTCTCGGATGCTCGCTGGCTTCTCCTGAACAGCGCATTTCAGCGTGACTAACTGCAGGGCTGTCGCTGTCGGGAGACCGATGATAGCAGTGCCAGGGCAGTCCGTGATGTGGAAGTCAGCGAGTTGACTCTTGCCATCGTAAGAGCACGGAATATGACTGGTTCCGCATTGCTTTATCTTGGATCCGCTGTACGCTGTGAGGGTGGTACTTGACGGCTTCACGGACTTCGGCTTTGGGTATCCGTTTGGTCCGACGCGCTGGGGAAACATTTGGCAGAACACTCTCAGCGGCAATATATTGCCCTGGGCGCCCGTATCCACCTTGGCTCTCAAGGTGGTCGGTCTGTTGGTGTTGTCCAGGCTGACATTGAGGGTCGCGAACACTTCTCGCTCTAGTGGCGGTTGGTGACACTCGACGCTGTCGATGATGACGGCGTTGAAATGCAGTGCGTCGAAGCGTCTCCGTGGGCTGGGGCTCCTCTGGGGGTAGCGCTTCCGCGGGCTGGGGCTCCTCTGGCGCCAGCGTCCGCGTTGCTGGCCCCTTCCATGTGCCTCGCCTCTCCCCTGCGAACGGCATACGTTTGCCCCGTGATTAGCCTTCCCACATTTGTTGCAGGTAGAGCCGTGCGCTGGGCACTTGCTTGGGTGGTGGGTTCGTCCACATTTGCCACAGTCTGCGTGTCCCACAGATTTGGAAATGGTATGAACCTTTTCAGGTAGACGGTTGCTGTTGGTGGCAGTGGACAGCTGCTCCATGTGGCGCTGTGTTGCATCATAAGTAGGGGCCTTGTCAAGCGCTTCGTCCAGGGTCAAATCACTACCACCCTCCAGCAGGCGTTTTTGCACTTTCGAGTGCTTTGTCCCCACGATTAGCTGTTCTAAGAGGCGATCGTTAGTCTCCTGAGCGTCCCTGAACTTGCACTTGGACGTCTTCTTCTTACACCTCGCAAAGAAATCATCTACAGACTCGTCGGGTTGCTGGCAGTATTTCTGAAGCTCAAACCGAGCCAGTCGTGCATTTACCCATGGCTGCAAATGCTTACTAAATTTCTTGAAGACGGCAGATACTTTGGATTTGTCTCTTGCATTATCCCACTCGAAACTATTGAAAGCATCAACACCAATTCTCCCGATCCATAGCATGACATAGGCAACCTTTTCCTTGTTGGACATGTCGGAAAAGGGCCCTTGGAAAACTAGAAGGCAGTATTGTTGGAACCGCTCGAAATCGTCAGGTAAATCTGCGGCTTGCCAATCCATCGACGGCGGGGTAAATCCGGCTGCTTCTGCCATTTTACCTCTTGCACCGATGGCGCTACTGAGACAATTCTAGGGCGTTTATTAAGTTTACTTCTGGCACCATGTTTCGGGGTAAACAAGTTAGTTGTTTACGATAGGATTATATTCTCACTTGGCCATTGTAGGCAAATCATAAGAACCCCGACATCTAAGGGATCCTGCATGAAAGTAGGCAGCTGCGAGATGCGTATCTCGCGCATGCTCTTGCATGGCTACGTAATGCATTACATCATAATACAACAGCAACTACCCACTCCTGCGGCACTTGGCCGGCACGCCACACATCTCCGAATAGCTTCACAAGCTTGTTGTTCTGCGACTCACCCCCAGCCTTTACCATCTCCGGCAAGACGCCCGAGGCTCCAGCAGCCTTGCCATTCTTCAAGCGAGCAACGGCGCGACACACTTCGCGCAGCGTGGGAGGTTCAGCGAGGTCTTCGGCAAGCGGTAGTTGAGGGATACCATTCAGCGCGTTCGGTGTCCAAGTGCTCATGACGTTGAGCACTCCAGAGAAGTGCCTTCCCCAGCGCTGTCCCTGCTCACGCGGTGACGTGCATATATTTCCGTTTTCGTCAACGATCGCTGCTGTCCGTAGTGGTTGAAGGCCGCGCCCAGCAGACTGGAGGTCATAGATACATTTCCACATGACAGCGCCATTGAAACGGGCGTTGGTGGCCGCCTGAGCTTAAGCTTTGATCCAGTCCACTCTGGCCGTATCGATTGCTGCGCGTGCGTTCGAGCGGGCTGCCTCAAACTCCTGATGAAATGGAGTGTCTCGCTGCTGGCCAACGGCGAAGCCAATCCTCGTAGGCCGCATTCCGCGTGTCCAGGAGGTGTGGGATGTTTGACAGGGCTTCTTGGAACCAGTCTGGCCGACGCCGTTTGAAAAATCCAAGGGCTGTGGATGCAGCAGGGTCAAGGGTGGACTTGATAGAGGACAATTTCTCACTAATGTTGGCATTCTCGAGCCAGTCGCGGTCGATCTTATCCTTGATCACTGCCTGGTAGATATCGGAAGGCGTAGGATCTTCAGGGGAAGACGTGCGGCGGTCCTTTAGCTACACACACACACACTAGTAAAAAAAAATAAAAACAAAAAAACAAAAAACACACACACACACACAGAAACACACTCTCTCTCTCTCTCTCTCTCTGACACACACACACACACACACACACACACACACACACACACACACACAAAAGCACACACACACACACACAAACGCACACACACACACACACACACACACACACACACACACACACACACACACACACACACACACACTTGTACTTGTTGCTCACTGCCAAAACTGGTCGCGTGGTCTCCCCGGGAGAGGGGAGAGAGACTCAAAAGGAATCTTGGAAAGATGACTCAATTGGCTATTGAATCGCCCAACAGCCGACACCCCCTGAAATCCCCAAAAATCTGGGTGGTTGAAAATGATCTCACTTATGGGCTCACCACACCTCAGTAAGTGGGTGAGGACAAGATGCAGAAAAAAGGATTGACGGCATCAGTGTATCCGTCCCGGGGTCCAACTGCAGTTACCCCTGCCCCCAGTGAAGGTAATACTTGCATCTAGTGTCAGTGGCTAAATCAGAGTGGATCTGATAAAAGCTTCACTAGTACCATTGACCGCACAAGAGTTAATCTAGCCAGAAGCAGTCCATGGGTAACAGGTATGTATACTTCAAGTAGAAAGTATATGAACCCTGGAACCAACAAAGGTGGCAGGTACAATATTACACCTTCAAGCAGCCGAGTCCGTTGGCAACAGACCCAGGACAATCAGGCATAAGTGTACCGACGAACCGAACTAGCTGGCGCCCCCCCCCCCCCCCACTCCCCCACACACACCATTTGACGCCCCTCGCCAGAGGTGATGATAGCGATGCTACAGCAGAAGCCATAGCAACTTGTGCTGGGATTGCATAATTCAACAGCTTGCAAAGCTGAAGAATTGACCTCCACTATTCAGCCTGGTATATACCACACAACTATGAAGTGACTTTTTCTGGCCAGTGAATCACTACTTTTGGTCTTTTTTCATTTTTTCCTACACACACAACACATTACATACTCCGCCATGCACTGGCTGTTGGGAACCACCCAGGAGAATGAAAGAGAAGGCAGAAGGAGTCTGAGAAAGAGACCATAGTCGTCGGGAATTAAACCCGCAACCTCTCGATTGGAAATTGCTGCACATACCACTGCACCATAGGGGACACACCATTGGACCATTGGACGCCCATCGCTGGAGGCGATGATAGCGATGCTACAGCAGAAGCCATAGCAGCTTGTGCTGGGATTGCACCATTCAACAGCTTGCAAGGCTGAAGAATTGACCGCCACTATTCAGCCTGGTCTACACCACACAGCTATGAAGTGGATTTTTCTGGCCAGTGAACACACACACACACACACTCACACACACACACACACATACAAACTTGTGCTTTTGCTCACTGCCAAAACTGGTCATGTGGGTCTCCCCGGGAGAGGGGAGAGAGACTCAAAAGGAATCTTTGAAAGATGACTCAATTGGCCATTGAACCGCCCAACGGCCGACACCCCTAAAATCCCCAAAACTCTGGGTGGACTTCAAAATGATCCCACTTATGGGCTCACCACAACTCAGTAAGTGGGTGAGGACAAGGTGCAGAAAAAGGATTGACGGCATCAGGGTATCCGTCCCGCGATCCAACTGCAGTTACCCCTTCCCCCAGTGAAGGTAATACTTGCTACCAGTGGGGGTGGGTAAATCAGAGTGGATCTGATATAAGCGTCACTAGCACCATTGATTACACAAGAGTTAATCTAACCAGAAGCAGTCCATGGTTAACAGGTATGTATACTTCAAATAGAAAGTGTATGAACCCTGAAACCAACAAAGGTGGCAGGTACAACAATACACCTTCAAGCAGCCGAGCCTGTTGGCACCAGACCCAACACAATCAGGCATAAGTGTACCCGCCAACCGAACTAGCTGGCACACCCCCCCCCCCACACACACACACAAACACACACACACACCTCAGACCTCAGACATGCCCATCGCGGAAGCGATGATAGCGAACAGCTATGTTAGACATAGCAACTTGTGCTGGGATTACACCATTCAACAGCTTGCAAGGCTGATGAATTGACCACCACTATTTTTAGCCTGGTATCCACCACACAGCTGCTTGAAGTGACACACACACACACACACACACACACACACACACACACACACACACACACACACACACACACACACGCGCACACACACACACACACAACACACATTATGTACACACACTGAGCCGGACACTCATGTGACAACACTTGCCCTTGCAGACAGATTGTAGCACAATTCTAAAGTTCTGCATACCAACAATGGATTATCATTGCCATCCTTGTGAAGTTTGACTTCTTCTTTGAAAACACCGCCTTCAAGTATCTCGGCTTTTAGAGCCTTTAGGTTATCCTCCCTGGCGTACCAAAGGACCTGGTAAGCATTCACCGCTGCCATCACTGTGAGGCACATAAAAAAACATACCCGCCCAACACACCATGTCAGAATACCACATCGTAATGAAGAGCCCGGTCTCTTATAGTGACTCCGATTAAGGGTCACTAGAAATACACTGTAAGAATAACCGAGCCTCTTAGAATGACCTGGATCAAAGGTTACCAAATATATAATAAAGAGGTTGCACACAACGAAAATTAATAAGATACTGACCGTCGGGGTTCAATGAACGGAAGTTGCTGTAAAGATTCGTCCAAAAGAGACCGAGACAGAGCAGATCTACTGTTTTTCATCACATGGAGTACTATAATACTGATATTTTACAACTCCCTGCCTTGACTCTTTCCGTACCTGCCGCGCTAGCGTCGACCTACTACGAAACATTTCACACATTGTGCGCAACCTCACGGTTTACGATTTTTCGTAACTTCTTTCGTTAAGTTTTTCGTTACTGTGCTACGAATTTTCATCGTGCGCAACCTCTCTAATGACCTAATGATAGCCGAGCCTCGAGTAGTGAACCGGATCAAGGGTTAGTAGAAATAATAATATGTAAAAAAGGCGACGTGGAGTCAATAATCTTAATAATGCAATGAATGAGACAATATGTGCACCCATATCAAAACCATAGCGACGAATAAAGTATTCCAGAACGTTTTCTTGCGACAATTATCGATGGAATTCGTGACTAAAGAGAATGATGAAACTACAATAGGATCTATACACTTGGAATGAAAAACGAGGATACAAGCATAGTAAGAAACATAGCACAAACTTCGGAAAATTGCACCGGTAATAAAAACTATACAGGTGAGAAATGATAGGAAATTCAGCAAGTGCAGTGTGACAATGTACATGTATGTGCAAGGGTGTGTGAGTGCGGATTTACTGAAAGAGTATAAGTGCGGTGACATTTTCTTTTTGTTTACAAAGATTTGGATCACGAATACGAATTCTGGGTCCTCCTGACCAAAGCGTGGCAGACCACGTAAGCACTCGAAGCCACTGTCCGTTCCAGCAGAGGCTTCTGCTCCACAAACGGTGTCTCCGAAAAATCAACACAGCACGCAAAACTTGAGAACAAACATTAATATTGTAAAAGAAGACGAACACTGTGTCACATCCCCATTATCAGCGATTGCCGGTACGCCGGACGCAGACGAATGCAACACGCCAAAGCGGAGAAGGAGCAAATGGCCGGCGGCAGCTCGGTTTGCAGAGATGACTGGGAAGATGCGACGAAACTCTCCGGATCTGGATGATGCCAACGGAAGGGTTGAAGGCTGTCAGGTGCTTGGCAATGGCAAGGGAAGACCGGTCAGGAAGAAAACGCAATGGCAGCGGGAGGAGGAATATGGAAAGCGAACTGTGCAGCAGGTTCGGCTTAATTCCCTCTGTGCTGCGCTGATGAGTCCACAAAGGACGAAACAGTTGTCCGCAGATTGAGTATTGATAACGTCCAGTTTCTTGCTGGCAAGAACTGGCGATTGGCCACGACGATCGGGGCCAAATACGTCGACAGGCACTCGTGAAACGCGGTGAGGAACAGTGGAACACAGACCATTCATGAACACTGTCCAGGTCTCAACTTAATCAAGTGCTACCGTCATGCAGCCTATGAAGCACAGGTCTGGGTTCGGATTCAAATAAGCGCTAGTGCGCCAGAAGAGCAACATATGAGGGGCTACGGAGTTGGAACGTCGCCGGAGCTGCACTGACTGCAACTGTATCGGGCAGCAATAAATCGAAGTCCACGAACTCACCTCTCTGGACACGATCGAGAAGGGCCCGTATAGGACAGTCAGGTTCACCTGCTGTTGGTGCTGCATGCGCATATGGCGGTCGTCACTGCACCGGGCTCCCAGTAGGGTCCGGCCTGCTGGCGGCGAGCGGCGATACGGATCCAAGTAGAGCGAGGAGAAGCTGGGTGGCGTTGGTGACGGCAGTGGCGTTGTTACTTCCAACAGAAAATCAAAGTCCACGAACTCGCCTCTCTGGATACGAATTACGATCGTCAGGCTCGCGCCTGCTGTTGCAGTGATGGTGCTGCGTGGCGGCCGTCGCTGCGTTCGCAGTAGGCGGGCAGTGGAGCCAGGTAGAGCGAGGAGATCCGGAGAGGCTGGACGCCGGTTGGTGACGACGACATTGTTTCAATGCACAAACAAGGGGCGCTGAGATCGCGTGGAGGTACTTCATATCAGGAAACCTGATGATGGCGCAAGCTAAAAGTCCACAGTCGACGTTCCACTGTAGACGACGACATTGTTTCAGGCACCAACAGGCGTCATTGAAGTCTGAATTTGAAACGTAGAGATACGAGAATGCAAGCTTGAAAGTCTAAACGAAAGGAAATTGTTTGGGAACACATGTTCCGCAAGTTGCACACTCGAAAGTCCAAACAGCAATGACATGCAAGAGACATACTACAGCATTCTGAAGGGCGCGTGCCCACGTGACTCGCGCATGCGTGCAGGTTGGGCCAGCTCGCTGGGCTGGCTGCTAACTCGCGTTACCATGCTAACGCTCATTAAAAAATGATATCAGTTATCCAATATATCCAGTTATCGAACATGCCTGATTCCCGAAGCGGTCGGATAAGTGACATTCGACTGTAGTTGCGTTAAGATTGTTTTCGTAGGTGCACAGCATGATTGTTTGTCTCACTACACAGTTCTAGCGTTACAATTAGTTTCTCACCCGCCGTTGCACTTAGCTCTCACTTCACTTCTATTGTCTCACCTTTCCTCATTCTTTTTTAGCACTTTATTTTGTTCTCGTAACACATAATATAATGTATATTTAATCATTGTTCAGCATGGTTACTCTTCAGTCACGACTTTCCACTGATGAATGTGACAAGAAAATTAATTTTGGAAAACTTTCATGACTTCGTTGTTGTGTGGTTTTGTTTTATTTATTTTTTTGCTATTATATTTGCTTATGAGTGTTCTTTTACCTTTCTGAATCCTAACTATTGATTTCTTTTAGATCTGAAGCTTGTTTCCATGCCAATTTCACACTCGTACATTGTACAGTACGGATCGGCTATAGCGTTGGTGTTTGATTTTCGTGAAAATATCACTATAGGCGATATATTACTATAGGCGATATGCATACTTAGGTATGCCTGACAAATGCGTGTATGGTGTCATTCGAATCAGTGCAGCGTGCAGAAGCGTGCTGTGCATGTGACTGTTCAATACGCGCCGGGCAGAGCTACTTCCTGCGGAAGCAAAACTTCGTGACTTTTTGACATGAGTTTTCAAGAAATGTGTTCTTTTGGATGAGAAACACTTCAACACATTCAATCGACATATCAACAATATCTACAGGATCGATTAGTGGGAGTAGAGTCTCAGTCTGGGTCGCCATCGCTCGACTCATCACCGCTTAAACCGTTCCAAGTGGCAGGTCGATCGACGCGTGATGTCGTATGTCACGGAGAAGCTTCTCCGCGTCCCTGATCGCCTTCGCTGTTACCTGAATGCCTTCTCCAACATCTCGGCGGAGACCACGGTAGCGCTTCAGCGCTGGTACTCATTACTGCCTCCAATCTCGCTCGAGGATGCCCCGAAACAACAAGCACAGTCAACGCCAAACATTTCGAATTTTCTCCGAGGGATATCATACTCGTACCAGCGCTTCCTGGCTGCCGCGATCAGATCTCGCCATGTACGATGTATACCTTTTTATGATCATCACTATAGCCGATGAAAAATGCATGCAGTAAGATCATTTTGACACAGAAATCGTATCACTATAGCCGATATATTACTATAGCCGATTATTACTATAGCCGATCCGATATGTATAGAAAGGGGTGGTTTACGAAAATGAATTTGAGAATACGATCACTATAAGAGGTATATTACTATAGCCGACAACCCTATAGCCGATCCGCACTGTATCTCCATACTTGCCAACCATACCGGTTTTCCCGGTATTATACCGGGAAACTACGGTCACTACCGGCCTACGGGGGCTTTTTGACTTTCATCGAAAAACTACCGGTTTTGGCACTGAACCATGATGAGTGTTCATAAAAAGGTTGTTTTGTGGTGTGACAAGGGCACATGCGGCCCTGCATTTCACAGAATCACACATGTACATTGTACATGTAGGGGCGATCTGACAATAAAGAAACTCAGGTTTTGGTCCCCCAATGAGCAATGAGTAAGAAATGAATAAAAAATTGACCAAAATTGCCAAAAGATTGCGGAAAATACGCAAAAATAATGGCCAAAATTGGCAAAAACCAGGAAAATAAGGGAAATGAAAGAAAATTAAGGGAAACTGGGTGTGTGACTTAGGGATTTGCTTTGGCTGGGTTGGCAAGTATGTATCTCTTTTTTCCGGGCGGTCCCAGACCAGACACTGCCTATGACTTTGAATTGTCCATGACTCTGAAATGTCCATAACTCTCAATCACATACGTTTGCATGTGGAAGAGCCAGAGATCTGGCATATGACATCAATAGTTGCACAAATGTTGGCAGATGAGTAGTAATATTACCACTAGAACCCATCCACAGGGTGCACGGTATACCTACAGTGTAGGTGCTCGTAACTTTGAGGTCCGGGTTAGAGAGACATGAGTGTACTAGTGCAGATTTAACGTTGTTAGTACGACATCGGTTACAAAACAACCGTCATTAGCAGACAAAGATCTGAAATCCCCTGACACCATGTGTACATTGTGTAATGGCAGTACACACGACACAGAGCACCACGCATCATTCATTGCAACTTATTCTCGTAGCTATGCAGAAGACGTTACTTCAATAACGTCTGGCGCTAGCCAGGGTCCACACAGCTATAATTTGGTGTTTGTCTGTTTGTGTGTTTGTGTCACGCCTGGCGCTATCCCGTATCTGTCCCGTACCGTACCGTACCATCAAACACAGCTGGCCACATACAGCTGGCCGCACTATTCAAATAGGGCTTTCAAATGCAAGATCATAACGTGAAGCAACTTGGAAGAATGAGTATGAATGCGAAGTGTATGGGGGAATGCATGTAGGGCGATAGTGCGGGTTCAAATCCCAGGTAGTAAATGCCTGAAAAAAATAGGAAAATTGAAAATTTTATAACATCCCTTTTCTTTTTTTGCCGTCATCAAGGCAGTAGATGGTGTCGTATTACCCTGTCCCGTACCGGTCCCGTACCGTACCGTACAATCAAAGACGGCTGGCCACAATGCATATTCAAGTAGGGATTTCAAATGCAGGATCATAACGTGAAGCAACTTGGAAGAATTAGTATGTATGCGAAGTGTATCGGGGGATGCATGCAGGGCGATAGTGCGGGTTCGAATCCCAGGTTATGTCTGAAAACAAAAAGTAGAAATATAAGAATTTATAACATCCCTATGCTTTTTTTTTGTCTAGGTCATCAAGGCAAAAAAGCATAGCTTAGGGCTCTGAGCTTCCAAGCTCTCTCGTTGTTTCATGCCCATAGCCAACGAATGATGCATGGTGTTCTGTGTCGTGTGTAAGATAGCTCTATTTGAGCACTCTACCGAGCCGGAGGACTCTCATTTGTATAAGGGTAGTATATGCAAATCCGGATAAGAGACAATTCTTTTGTAGAAAAATTCATTATATAAATCACCTTAAGCTGTCTGACAGGTTCGATTCCCAGTCATTACAAGACAAAGCAAATGACCATGGACTACAAAATTGCTCGGATGGTTTCCCTGCCAGTAGCTAGGCGGAAAGTTTGAATGTGATTTGTCTGGATTTGTTTTTTCTTAGCTCCTGTAGCGCGATCAATGTTTCATGTTGTCTTGTATAGGAGGGGTTCGATAAAAACTGTTTTACAATGGGTTGTCTTGTACAGGGGTCAGGGGAAAACTTTGTCTTGCTATGGGGAAACAGCGTTCCTTATCTGGATACAGTATGTAGTATGTACAAGTATGATGTACTGTCGCGGACATGGAAATCCAGTCGATTGACCGGGGGCCGGCGCCCTCAGCGCCTACAGAACAGTGCACATGTTGATCCGATGTGACCAGCATAATAATGTCATGCATGTGTGTACTGCTTATCCATGGCTGCATGGCCAGCGCCCTGGGGCCGCTAGACGTGCGACCAGATTTCCATGTCCACGACAGTAGAACAGCAGAAAAATATGCATGTCGTGTTCGTAAGCAATACTCAATAGAATAGTAAAAATCTATAAATCGAAAATGCTGAATCCTCACCCCCGAGGTTGTCTGCTATTAAGAGGGTAGACCAGGTAGACCTACAGCCACGTTTCTACCTAGTGCGGTAACAGCGCACGCATTCCCGGATACACTGTACATATGTGGTATGCTCAGGAAACACCAAAATTAATATTGTAAACTTTACCTGCCGATGCTGCACAATGCAGCTGGCAATTGATAGTGGCTCCTCCAACTCCACGGTCCGGTGAGGGCCGCAAGGAGTCTTCACTTCCCCGCAGAACTACCACGAGCTCGTGACAAAACGCTATACAAAATGACCAGCTCAAACACCGCACAACCTTCTTGTTCCATTACCGACTGTAAACAAACCAAAATGAACCCTGACTGCACTGCGTGGTACGGCGCGGTAAGTGCCTTGGAGTTGGAAACAAGATACTGCAGTACTGGTGGCATGACTCACTTTTTTCTTCTGTGGGGAACTCTGTAGACGTGTAGTCGCATGCGCAGGGCCTAGGGGCCTGACTAGCAGGCTGTGCTACAGTGCTGCAGCTGTGGATGCACGATGGTAGACCGACCGTTGTAGACTTGTCACCTGGTCACGACTGACACAAAAAATAAATCCTGACCCCACGCGGTCTGCACGTCTACATCTGTACATGGGCATGGTCATGGATATCGATACTGCATTCGGTCCATCGAACCAACAAGACCAGTCCTTCTTTCGTGTTTGACAGAACTCCTTGTTGTCTAGATATCCGAGTCTGATGTCGCCAAGGCCGTGCGTCATGTCACCTAAATTTTAGCGCTGCGTCTCAGCTAGCATCTCACAGTCTCACACGTCTAGGCTCCACGTCTCTAGCTGCACTACCACTACTGCTAGTACTGGCACTAGACTTTCAAGTCTCGTCATGTCAGGTGGTGTTCCATGGTCTACGTAGATCTACGTACAGTGGACATGTAGATCTGGATCTACTGTCGCGGACATGGAAATCCAGTCGATTGACCAGGGCCGGCGTCCTCAGCGCTAGCGAGTCCAGAACGACTACGTAAGACGTCGCATGCAGCGCACATGTTGATACGATGCGACCAGCAGCATGCAGCAGCGCATGCATGCCATGGTTGCATGGCCAGCGCCCTGGGGTCGCTAGACGTGCGACCGGATTCCCACGTCCACGACAGTACATGACATGATTGGTATTAAAAATTAATATTTTTAAAAATAATTTAAAAAAAGGTTGAACTTGCAAATATGCATTCATAGGAAGCGTTTTCCGACTCAGTCGGTGGGGGCGGGGGGAGTACGAGGATTAACGATTATGTCATTCGACTCTTGGCACTTAGCGAGACAGCCATCACCGCTGCTACCCATACTACTTCCACTGCCTGATCCAGACGCACTATCGTTCATCCGCGACGTTCCACCCGTGATCCATGGTGCGATAGAGTACTGAGCCCACAAACGCGAGAAACATTAGAATCTTGTAATGCGGACGGCGAAGAAATCCATACACCCTTGACCGTACGCGGGGTTCCGGTCTGCGCTCCTCTTCAATCTCTAGAGGCTGCATTTTGCGCTTTCAGAAAAATCAAAATGACCTCTTTCAACGTCCCACCAAAAGCCTCTGAGGGTTTAGGCACGAACATTATAATAAGAAATTGCGTTATATACATGAGAAATGAGGACACTTTGCCTGGCGTCGATCGAGGCGCAAGAGAGCTCGAGAGAGATTGGAAGCTCAGGACAGGTTAAGCTATTCTTTTTTACCTTGATGACCTAGACAAAAAAAAGCATAGGGATGTTATAGTTCGAAATTCTTATATTTCTACTTTTTGTTTTTATACATAACCTGGGATTCGAAACCGCACTATCGCCCTGCATGCATCCCCCGATACACTTCGCATACCTACTAATTCTTCCAAGTTGCTTCATGTTATGATCTTGTATTTGAAATCCCTATTTGAATATGCATAGTGGCCAGCCGTCTTTGAATGTGCGGTACGGTAAGGGACAGGTACGGGACAGGGTAATACGACACTATCTACCGCCTTGATGACGGCAAAAATAGAAAAGGGATGTTATCAATTTTTTAATACCTGGGATTCGAACCCGCACTATCGCCCTACATGCATTCCCCCATACACTTCGCATACACTTCGCATTCATACTCATTCTTCCAAATTGCTTCACGTTATGATCTTGCGTTTGAAAGCGCTATTTGAATAGTGCGGCCAGCTAGCTGTACATGTATGTGGCCAGCTGTGTTTGATGGTACGGTACGGGACAGATACGGGATAGCGCCAGGCGTGACACAAACACACAAACACCAAACGAGAGAGCTTGGAAGCTCAGGGCCCTACGCTATGCTTTTTTGCCTTGATGACCTAGACAAAAAAAGCATAGGGATGTTAAAATATTCTTATAAGTTTCTACTTTTTTGTTTTTAGACATAAGGCCACCCTTTCTTTTTTGGTTGTTTAACGTCCGCGCCCGCGTACCTTTTTGCCTCCGACCGGAAAAAAAACAAGAAAGTAGTAGTACCAATAATATGCGAAGTTGTAAATACATGATTGTGTAGTTTCACAGTGTGCCGATCATGACCTTAAACTTATAATCTTGCCTCCCGGGCATGCCTTTGTCTTTATTATTATTATTATTATTTCACCGTCCAATGGCAGAAGCCAATGCAAAGGAGGGGGCGTTAGCCAGCCATGGCAAGAGAAGAAAAAAAAAGAAGAAAGAATGAAGGAAAGAAGATGATAATCGGAAGAAAATAATGCATCATTATGTTGACCATGGTGGAGAGCGGCGAGATAAGCTAGCAAAAGAGGCGAGCGAGCCTACAACGTGGCATGACATTTAACATGGTCTATGAACTGTCTAATATTGGATATTGTCTTCATTTCCATGGGCAGCTTGAGCCAATACGAGTATGCAGAGAAGATAGGAGATTTGGTAAACATAGTGGACAAAGCTCTGGGAAGTACTATGCCATTGCGAGTGTCCCGTGCGAAAGTAAACCAATTATACTTGGTGAGATGTTCAGGGACAATGTTCAGTTTAATACGATGGACCAGAACGCATGACTGTCTCTGCGACAGGATAGAGATGGGGGTGGTGGAGGCCAAACTATATAGATCAGTAGAGGGGAAAAGAGTGGGTTTACGAAAAATAATTTTCAACACACGTTTATGATGTATTTCTAGTGTCTGTACAGCAGATTTACTAAGCAGGGAATGCCAAGCAGTGGCGCCGTACAGAAAGATAGGAAGGAGGTAGCATTTATAAAAGAGACGAATACATTCGGGAGACAAGTGGGAGCAGTGAGACATCAGGCAACCTACAGTTTTGCTAACTTTGTTGCATACAAAATCTACGTGAGAATTCCAGGACAATTGCGAGTCAAATACAACACCCAAATGCCTGTGCGTATCTACAATAGTAATATTAATAGCCGAATCAAGTCCGGGAAGGGTAAATGTAGGAGGGTGGTCTATTTGAGGGAGAAAGACTATTTCTGTTTTCAAGATATTGGGTTTCAGACGCCATGACAACATCCATTCATGAACAACATTGATTCCAGTCTGAAGCTTCGTACACAGGTTTGCAATGTCAGCGTCAAACTGAATGAGGGCTGTGTCATCAGCAAATAGTGACAAACCATCTATACAGTCAGGTAGATCGTTTATATACAACAAGAATAGTAGAGGCCCCAGTATAGATCCCTGGGGGACTCCCGACTTCACAGGCAGTGGTTCTGAGAGTACCCCTTCGACTGACACTGATTGCGTTCTATCTGTTAGGTAGTCCGTAATCCACGCCAGAGACGCTCCGGAAACATTGTACATCGCAGATAATTTAGCTAGGAGTCCACGGAACCATACCGTGTCAAACGCCTTGGCTAGGTCGAAAAAACACATGCCAACATGTTGGTGGTCATGACGAAGGGCCACAATGTCCTGCACAAGGCGTGTCAGCTGCATGGTGGTTGAGTCTCCTCGTTGAAAACCAGATTGGACTGGGGCAAGGGCCGGCGACACATGAGCATAAAGCTTATCAAAGAATAATCGCTCACATAGTTTCGATACACAGGACAACAAGGAGATAGGACGGTAATTGCTGGCTTGTGACTTGGAGCCTTTGCTCTTGTAAACCGGAACAACCTTCGCGAGTTTCCATGCTGCTGGAAATTTACCCGTCGAAAAGGACACATTAAAAATGCGGCAGAGGGGGTACGAAATCGACGGGGCAAGTTTCTTCAGGACATCATTCGTAATGGTGTCCAAGCCAGGACTGCGGCGAGACTTTAGTCGGGCGATAGCCTTTCTAACATCCGCAGTTGTGGTGATGACCTGAACAAATGTTTCATGAAGTTGGCTGTGGGCACGAAGAGCTGGAAGTGATAACGACGGATCATCCGGCACAGCAACGGAGGCGAACTGCTGGTTGAGGACTGTAGCCTTGTCGAAACTGCCAGAAACTGGATGACCGCCTTCATCAATGAGGTGAGGAAGGCCACGATCCTGCTGACGATTCCGCTGAGAACGAACAAACTGGTACATGTTAAGGTTACCTGACGCCATGCTGGCCTGTATAGATGCCAAATAGTCACGGTGAAGAGATCGAGATAAGTTTCGTACTCTGTTACGCTGAACTTTGAAGGCAGACTGGTTAGCTGGGGTTGGGAACTTCCTATATCGGCTGTAGAGTTCGTACTTCAACTTGATGGCAAGTACTAAATCTCGATTAACCCACGGAGGATATTTCCTAGATACAGCTCGCTGGGTGGAGGAAGAGATTTTCCGATAAGGCGACAGGTAGTGGGAAAATGCATCATTCAAGGAAGAGGAGAATCTGGCTAATGCGTCGTCGACATCTGGTGTGTCCATGAGATCATACCAGTTGAGCGAGGAAAGGTACTTATTTACTGCTACCCAGACAGAAGGTGGCACTTGCGCAAAATTGTATGGAGTGGCTGGGGAACTACGGGCAGGATAGCATGGTACTTCCTTTGTAGGCATTCGGGTTACAGTTCTGTAGAAAAGGGTGGTAACTACCTGTGAATGGTCGGACGCACCAAGCGGGGCAGCATCGTCGACAGAGAATGCTGATTGAGGACGATTGGTAGCGAGCAAGTCTAGGCACGACAGGGTTCCGTTTGGAGAGGTGTGAGTGGGAAAATCTACCAGCTGGGAGAGACCGAAGCTGGAGAATATATGCGAAAGTTCCTTTCCAGCGCGTGATGTAGCGTCACCGCTCCACCAGTCAGAGTTGTGAGCATTGCAGTCACCAGTGAGGAATATATCAACGGATGAGAGGTCTACAGCCCGTAGGGTATCCGTCATCATGTCACAAAATGAGGTAAGTTCAGGTAGGGATTGCGAAGGAGGGCGATACTGACAGCCAATGAGTATAG